TACTTTCCCTGACCCCTTCTGGCAACTCTCTGAGGTGGGTGTTGGTCCCATTTTACAGATGCAGACACTGAGATTCAGGAAAGTTAAGCAGCTTGCCAAATACCACACAGCGATAAGTGGCAGTACCAGAATGCTAACCAAGGCAATCTGATTTGGTTCTTGTGAGCGCCACAACAGAGGGGCTCTGTCCATTACTTGCTGACAAGAACAAGACCTCAAACATACACGGCACTCAAGAAATATCTGTTGATTAAAAGGAAGGAATGACTCCCAAAGCTACTGAAATACATATCTGAAATACAAGTACCATGTCTCCTGAAGGTCCCTCTGCTTTTCCTTATAGCATATGTGTATGTATGTGTGTGTATATATATATATATTTTGTTTGTTTGTTTGTTTGTTTTTGGCTAAAGTTTGACAGTAGCCTCAGATATTTAGGAACCATTGTAATAGTGGGGTGGGATAGGGCAGAGGTGATTTCTTGTAGTTCTTTGAGTGGAATCTAACAATTATAGATTTCAACAAAGTGGCTTAAATATTCTGCACATTCATTTCGTTAAATAAAGTGTAATCATCTGCAGCAAATTATTCTAAAACCATCAATACTTTTTTCACTTTCTCTTAGGATTAAGGGAATTTCTTGTGATTACGATATTTTATATAGCTCAGTTTCAAAATACGGCTTGATTCCAGCACTATCTTCTGTGTCAGTTTTAAATTTTTGACACTTTATTTTTTTAAGATAAGATTTGTAACCTTAAGATAAATTCTCCTCCTGTTGTAATTTCTTGATTATCTCTTTGTTAATGTTATTTACATTGCTTCTCTTTTAATATTTTATCTATCTATTTACTTTTGCAATTGCAAAGTAATCCCAGATATTATTCTTCGGTCACTCTTTACTTCCTTCTTTTGATACCAGAGGGCACAACTGATCATTCAAGATGAGTGTAGAGCAGAAAGAAATCTAGAAGACCTAATTGATAGTTTTATTTTCACCTTGCAACTACTTCCCTTTCATCACTAGCAGCACATATATATACACACACACATATATATACACACACATATATATATA